TTAAGAGACTGGGTATTATTTTTAGTCTTCTTGCTTTTTTCTTAGAGCTGCAAGTCTTGTTTCCTATAGCCATTTGTGTGTTTCTGTCATTTTTTGTTGTTATTTTATTTTTGTATTTTTGTATACAGAGGATCAGCGAAGAGAGGTGAATTTTTTATAATCAATAAATTTTTTTTGATTTATTTAATAATATTTTATAACTATTATTAATTTTTTATAATATTCTATAGTCAGCCCCACCTATAATCACCCCCTCTATAATCACATCATATAAAATACGCTTCCTTATCACATTCAGTACTCAAAAGCAAATTGCTATTAAACATATAAAAAACTATCTCTATATAATCACAATCTCTTTATAAGCACATTTTTTTAAAAAGTTCTTAAGTAAACAAAACATATGATTATAGAGGGGGTTGACTGTAGTTAATAAAATTTATTTTTAAATAGTTTTTATTTTTAGAGCGAATCTATTTGTCACCGCCGGTGACAGTACTAGACACGTAACTTTCATTTGATTGGCCAACATAAAACAATCTTGTATAACAATAATCGACCAATCAAAATCAACGATATAATTATCATTTAAAAAAATAAGTTTTTTTATTTATTTAAAAAAATAAAAAAATAAAAAAATAAGACGAAATTACACTATATAATACATATGTAATGCAAATATAACAAAGATGAAATCGTAGCACTATATATCCGCCATAGAAACACCACAACCGCCGTACAGACACTACAGACACCATAAATGCCGTAGAAACAACACCAACCGTTGTAAAGACACCACCGCCGTAAAGACACCATAACCTTCGTAGAGACACTACACAATCGTTGTAAAGACACCACACAATCGCCGTAAAGACACCATAAACGCCGTAGATGCCGTAAAGACACTGTAGGAAGATTTAGAGAAAAAGCAGAGTTAGTAAATCAAAAAAAAAAAAAGAAACAGAATAGAAAAAAAAAAAGATCTGAAACAGGAATAAAAAGAATGAAAGAAAAAAGAAAAGAACAAAGAAAAGAAAAAAAGAAATAAAGAAAAAGAAAAAAACGAAGAGAAAAAAAAGAAACGAAAGGAAAAAGAAAAACAAAAAGAAAAAGAAAAAACGAAGAGAAAGAGAAAAAACGAAAAGAAAAAGAAGAAACGAAGAGAAAGAGAAAAAATGAAGAGAAAAAGAAAAAACAAAAAGAAAGAAAAGAAACAAAGAAAGAGAAAAAACAAAGAAAAAGAGAAGAAACAAAGAGAAAGAGAAAAAACGAAAAGAAAAAGAAAGAACGAAGGAAAAAAGAAAGAGCAAAGAAACAGAACGAAAAAAAAAGAGCAGAAGAAAAGAAAAAAAAGAGAAGGAAAGAAAAAGAACGAAAGAACAAAAAAAAATAAAATAAAATAAACAATGAATGAATAAATAAACGAAAAAAAAGAAAGGAACAAAAAAAAAAGAATAAAGAAAAACAAAAGAACAAAAAAAAAGAAAAGAACAAAAAGAAAGAAAAGAAACGAAGTGAAAAAGAAAGAATGAAAGAGAAAAGAAAGAACGAAAATAAGAAAAGGAACAAAAAAAAAGAACCAGAACGAAGAAAAAGAAAAAAACAGAGAAAAAAAAGAGCGAAAAAAAGAAAAAAAAAAAAAAAAAAAGAACAAAAGAAAAAGAACGAACAAAAAAAAAAAAAGCAAAAAGAATGAAAAAAAGAAACAAGAAAAGAACAAAGAAAAAGAAAAGAACAAAGAAAAAAAAAGAATAAAGAAAAAAAAAAGAACGAAAAGAAAAAAAAAAATGAAGAGAAAAAAAAGAAATGAAGAGAAAACGAAAAAACGAAAAGAAAGAGAAGAAACAAAGAAAAAGAGAAGAAACGAAAAGAAAAAGAAGAAACAAAGAGAAAGAGAAGAAACAAAAAGAAAGAGAAGAAACGAAAAAAAAGAGAAAGAATGAAAGAAAAGAGAAAGAGTAAAGAAACAGAATAAAAAAAAAGAGCAGAAGAAAAGAAAAAAAAGTGAAAGAAAGAAAAAGAACAAAAGAACAAAATAAAAAAATAAAAAAGAAGCAAAAAGAATGAAAGAAAAAAGAAAAAAAACAAAAAAAAAAGGAACAAAGAAAAAAAAAGAATAAAGAAAGAACAAAGGGAAAGAGAAGAAACGAAGAGAAAGAAAAAGAACGAAGAAAAGAAAAGTAACAAAAAAAAAAGAAATAGAACGAAGAAAAAGAAAAAAATAAGCAGAAAAGAAGCAGAAGAAAAGAAAAAAAGAGAAGGAAAAGAACAAAAGAACAAAAAAAAAAAGAAAAAAAAGAAAAAAAAAGAAAAGAACGATGAAAAGAAAAGAACAAAAAAAATAAGAAATAAAGAAAATGAAAAAAATGAAAAAAATGAAAAAAAATGAAGAGAAAAAGAAGAAACAAAGAGAAAAAGAAGAAACGATGAGAAAAGAAAGAATGAAGGAAAAGAGAAGAAAAAGAAAAACAAAATCAAACCAAAAAAAAATTGCTACTTATATGATCGCTAATCTTGAACATGATTAACTAATCTTATAAGTCTGTCACGTGCCCGGTACTGTCACCGGCGGCGACATCTAGATTATTTCTTATTTTTATATATTATTTTGAATATTACTAGAAATAACCGGTGGTGATCATCACTTGTGTGTAATTAGCCAATAATGATAAAAACAAACAACAAATTTATTTTATTTACTTTAGAGTTAGAGTGAGGTTTAATATTTTGGTAAGATGTTAGATATATGCAAAATTTAGCAAGAAATTTTTTTTGCTAGCATGTCGAAGGCAATTTCATAGATGATTTTTTGAGATATTAGCATTTTTTTTGAAAAAATCTATTATTTTTATTACACAAACTGATTTATATATTACATCTGATTCTGCAAATTTATTGGCTAATTAATAATATTCTATTATTTAAATAAATTTAAAATAAAACTAGTTTATTAATAGTAAGTTCCTCAAAGTTGAATTAAATCGAATCAAATATTAATTAAATTGAATAAATCCTTAATTTGAATTTGATTTGATGGATTTTTTTTTTTTTTTTTTTTTATTTTTTTTGAATTTGCTATATACATGATAAGATTAATTACAGATTTGTATCAAGATGATATTAATTTTAAACTATCTATTATATCTTGTATAACC